TATCTTCCTTGCTCTTCCCCCGTTGGAACCCCACATTACAGGTCCCCATTTCATATTCTCTCTACCCTGCTAGTCTTCTCTTACCTCCTGACCCCACTGTCTCTTTTCTTAAGAGAGAATGCCTTTTAAATTAGAGAAGCACATTTAAATAGAGTAAAAATAGCATAGCTAATGTATTTTTAATATGATTATTCCATCCTGTGCCCAACATAATGTATTTTCCCTCCATTTGTAGGAGCAAATCCATCCCACTTGAGAGGAAAGAGAAATGAGGTGAATTACAGTATTCACGTTTTGATGTGTTTACAAACAAAAGCCTACTGTAATTGTTAGACATTGAAGGTGTCTGAAAATTCGTGTTGTCCGGAACCTAATGTTGTAAATGAGAGTCAGTCTTTAACTACTGTTGTGATTGGTTATGCAAAGAGAGTTAGAGCACTACACTACAACCTCCTGTTCTTCTTACTTCCTTTGTCTTAAGATTCTGGAGTCCTTAAGGAGAAGCATAATTGTATGCAAAAGTCACTTTCTTCTTTGCCTCCATTCAAAAAAGAAGCGAAATATATTCATGGTCATTGTCATTTTAACAGAAAAACTAAAAATTAGAAATTCCTCTTGACAAATATAAGAACAAATACAAATATAATCGAGACATTTCTTATGTTGATTAAGTTCCAAAGAGAGAACTGAGGTGTCCCAACTGTTCTCTTCCACTTGGCTATATGTCTCCTGTCCACTGTCACCGTGATCCTCACTGTAGAACTCTTCTGCTTGGACTTAGACAGAAAATGGCCTCCATAAAAACATATAAGCCAATGAGTAGATAATGAGTACCTAGTGACTAATGATTTGGAAAACACATTCAGGGTGTAGAGAATAAAGATTATTCTGTCAAAAGGTCCATTGAAATTAGGTGTTGAAGTGCTCACTTCTAGTTCCAAGCCTTAGGGGTAAGAACATGTTGAAACCCAGTCCTGTACCAGCATGTTCTACTTAGTGACTTTCACGACAGCCAGAGCTAAATATTGAAACCCTGTCTCAGAAGAAGGAGCAGGAAGAGGATGAGGAAGAAAAAGAGGAGGAGGAAAAAGAGATAAATTTAACTTTAATGGCATTTCTATTTCATTAAATATGGTTTTTTGAGATGTATAAAGGATAACATCCTGACTGATATCTTATACATTCTTCTGCATATGAATCAGCATAATACATATTTTTCTATAGTTTGTCATGTGAGTTCATGACATATGCTGGAGTGAGGCAAAAGAAAATTTTACTGTGTCCCAATAAATAATGACCAATTATTATAAATAATATTTTTAGATAAATTTATAGTGCTTTATTTAATTTTCAACTCATTTGAATGCAGTTTAAATGTATTTGTATATTCAAATATATTTAGTGTATAACTTCTAAAAGCAATGACAATTAGATTAAAATGATTTCTTATTTATTTGAAATTCAGAACTGACTCAGTTGCCTATCTAACATGACAAATATAGCAGTCTGGCACTTGAGAGAATTCCTAATTAAAAGAAAATTAATATTTGACATTAGATTCCCCAATGTTACAGTGAACATCTAGCGTAAACAGTTTTGATCTAATACCTATAAAGATCATTTTAGTGATTTTTAATTATTGCCAATGTCTGGATCTTCAGTTCAATTCCATTGATCAACATACCTGTTTTTGTGTCAATATTTTGGTTTTTTTTCTGTACCTCTTGGTACAACCTAAGGTTGGGGATGGTGATACCTCTAGCAGTTTTGTTTTGTTTTGTTTTTGTTTTTGTTTTCGTTCTTTTTATTCAGGGTTGTTTTAACTATTTTTTTTTTTTTTTGTCTTTCTGTGTGAAGCTGAAAATTGTCCCTTCAAGATTTGTATTGGAATTTTGATGGGAATTATATTGAATCTGTAGATTGCTTTTGGTAGGATAGCCATTTCTTCTATATTAATAATACCAATCCATGGACATGAGCGATCTTTCCATCTTCTTATATCTTCTTCAATTTCTTTCTTTATGTCTTAAACTTTTTAATCATACAAGTCCTTCTCTTGCTTGGTTAGAGATATTCCAATTTGTTTTATTTTATATTATTTGAGGCTATTTTAAAAGGCGATTTTACCCTGATTCCTTTCTCAGTCCATTTGTCCTTTTGTATACGTGAGGGCTACCGATTTTTGTGAGTTTACTTTGTATCCTGCTACTTTGCAGAAAGTGTTTATTTATCAGCTGTAAGAGTTTCCTGGTAGAATTTTTAGGGTCACTAATGTATTTTGACTTCCTCCTTTCCAATTTATATCACCTTGATTACCTTCAGTTTAGAATTGCTCTAGCTAGGACTTCAAGTACTGTATTGAATAGATATGGATAAAGGATACAAGCTTGCCTTACTCCTGATTTTTGTGGAATTGCTTGAGTGTTTTTTGGTTTTTTTTTTCGTTTGAGTTGATATTGGCTATGGTCTTGCTCTAAACTGCCTTTGTTATGTTAAGTTCTGTCCATTATATTCCTGATTTCACCGGTTTTATCAGGAAGGGGTGATGGATTCTGGCAAAGGCCTTTTGTGCATTTAAGATATAATCATGTGGTTTTTGTCTTTCAGTTTGTTTATATGGTGGATTACATTGACAGATTTTCCTATGTTGAAACATCCCTGCATCTCTGGGATGGAGCCTACTAGATCAGGGCGGATGATTTTTTTGATGTGTTCTTGGATTCAGTGTGCAAGTATTTTATTGAGATTTTTTGCACCCAGTTTCATAATGGAAATTGATGTATAATCTGTTCTGTTTGTCAGGTCTTTGTGTGTTTTGAGTGTCAGAGTAACTATCCTCATGAAACAAATGTCCCTTCTGTTTCTATTATGTGAAATACCTTGAGGAACATTGGTGTTAACCCTTCTCAGAAGGCCCAGGGGAATTAGACAATAAAACCACTTACACCTAGGTTTTATTTATTTATTTATTTTTTGGTTGGTAGACTTTTAAATACTACTTCTACTTCACTATAGGTTATAGGTCTGTTTAAGTTTTTTTTATCTGATCTTCATTAACTTTGGTGGATGGTATTTATTGAGAAAATTAGCCATTTATTTTAGATTTTTCAATTTGGTGGAATGCAGGCTTTTAAAGTACGCTATTATGATTCTCTGGATTTCCTTGGTGTTTGTTCTTATGGCCCCTTCACCATCTCTAATTGTGTTCATTTGGATTTAATCTTTACTGACAAATTGAAGTTTTGGTTGATTTCTGCTCTTGCATTCAGCCATACAGATCCTGTATTGTTACTAGTCGTGTGAACCAGTGTTTGAAAATAAATATTGTCACTGTTCTCTAATCATATTTCTGTCACCTTGTCTAGGAAACTTTCATAATCACACAGCACTAAAGATTAGTATTTGAACTTTGCGCAAGGATAACTATCCTATCAGGATGTTACAGTCTGTATTAAAATGTCAGTCATTGATATATGTAAATATCTCTCCTTGATATATATAAATCTTCATCTGGGGATATTCTTTCAAATGCCAACCCCCCCAGCCAAATCACAGAATTATTAATTTACCTTAGCTGAAACAATTATGTTACCTTTCATACCCATAATAAGGAATTTCCCATTTGCAGAATCAAAGTATCACGAGAATGAATCCTTTAAAGCAATGAGTACTCTAAATTAATAAAATTATAAAAAACAAGCAAACAAGCATTGTATGCTCTACAGAGTTTTTGTTACATGGAGAAATATCTATTAAGGCTCAGAGACAGGCAGATGCCAATAGCTGTTAGTCCAGGAAGTAAAATCTGTAATACAGGAGTTACAAAGGCAAAACCTAATAGTTTTGCCTCTGGACCTAGTAGTCTTCCTCCATTGCTCCACATCCAGGTGTGCATTAATATTTATTTTAAAAGATCATTAAGTAGACCTAATCCATTTCCCTGTGTCATTAGTTATTTTAAGATAATTTAAGCCTTAACAATATTTACTCCTGACAATACCGGTCCTGCCTGAAGAACTGACATGTTTTATATTCTCCTCCACAGGATGGTACAGCCATATTTGTTCGGATTTCAGTGAAAAGTTTTGAATTGCACTGTATTATTAATATAGGCTTCATGACATTTACGAAACAAGCATGACATTCTTACATCAAAATATATGAAGAAAGCTAGATCAAAAGAAAATAAGGTGTAATCTGAAAAAAAGATTTACAACATTTGCTTGAGTTTTACTGCAAAGCAATTTTGTCATTATAACTTTAAAAGAGAAAGACTTCCCTTCATTTTTAGAAAGAAAAACACTCTCTTTTTCTCACTCAAATTGTAGAAAAGCTCTAGTAGTCTGGAAAATCAGTCAGTAAGTATGTTCAGGTCAGGTGTCACTCTACTATCTGAACAAGACACTGGAGTCCCTGACCTCTTCAGACAACAATGACCCTAGATGAACTCAACTATAATGAAATGAATTAAAGTGGCTCTCAGTTTTAGATAGAGCCTTAACTCTACAGAAGTCAAAGTATCATGGATTCTGTGGTCTCTGCAAAGCTCTCTGGTAGACAGTGGCTAAGTGCTATTTGAAACCTGTCTGTAAATGTCCAGCACCGTGCTGACCTGAGCTCACCAACGGCAGTTTCTTCACGCTCTTGAGATATGGGAAATCTGACCTAAGTATTTCAGCCTATCCTATTTCTCAAATCCACTTAGCTCTGAAATAAAGCAATGAAAGAGAGGGGTCTTTGTTCGTTGATTGGAACAGAAGGTGACTTGTCTCTATCTACAGTAGTAATAATTTAATCATAAAAGCAGTTAACACACAGTATTCATATCCACCTTCTTTGGCCTGTCTCCCTCTGTCTTGTACTCCTTTTCCAATGCTAAATTTTCAATTGACCTGCACCTGTTTTCAGTTCAGGGAAGAATATTGATGCATAGACTCAGATGAGAGCCACTGTGTATACAGATTTGCTTATACTGACTGCTGTGTTCATGCTGTCTTCAGGAACTGAAGGAGCAGTATTTGGGCACTCTGTGGAAACACCTCATATCAGAGCAGAGCCATCCCAAGACCTCAGGTAAGTCCTTCTCCTTGGACCATGTCATAGTTCCCCTCATTATTTACCACCTTAGACGTATGGACAAGTAAAAGGGTGCTTGTGTTATGAATCTATACAAAACAGAAATCAACATTTCATAACTTCATAGTAGTCAGATATTTGAAGGGAAGATAGTTAGTTATTCTAACTTCTCTATTTTCCCAAACATACATGACATGAACACAAAAATAATGAGAACGAGTTTAGCAAATGAAAAGAGACAGCAATTGAGGAAGTATAGATGAACAGGCATAAAGGAAACAAAGGAAGAAGGATCGGGAGAGAAAATCAAAGAATCAAGACATGTGAAGTAGGTAGAACACAGAGCAAAAGAGACACTGAAAGAAACATTTAATAGTGCTTTGTCCTGCCGTAGTACCTCAGTATAATGCCGTAGTACCTCAGCATAATGCCGTGGTACCTCAGTATAATATTAATAGTACTGCAATCTGTCTAAGCCTTGATGCCATGCAAAAGCTATCCCTACCCACAACATTGTAAGAGATCTCTCCAAGACAGTCATGGAAACTTGTATTAAAACATGAAAGAATATCTATAACTACTGCACACTCTTTTTTTTTTTTTTGAGACAAGGTTTCTCTGTGTAGCTTTGGAGCTTGTCCTGGGACTTGCTCTGTAGACAAGGCTGACTTCGAACTCACCTAGATCCACCTGTCTCTGCCTCCCAAGTGCTGGGATTAAAGGCATGTGCTATCACCGCCTGGCTTGCACAGACATTCTTAATTCAACAAATATATTAACATTTGATGGAATAGGATGGATTACTTGATTTCTGTTCAGAAAATTACACTCCAAAATGTATCTGCTGCAATGGGTTTGTAAAAGGCAAAAATCTAATATTAAAATCACTATTATGAGATAACTGTATCAGAGATAGAATCTCTTGAAAAAATACTCAGTAAGATTCTTAATAAAAACATTTGATGTCTAGTTTAGAGAGATGGCCAAGGGAGTGAGAGTTCTTGACATACTCACAAAATGATGTGAAAGCAAAAAATAACATGTGTGTAGGAGCTATTCATGACTTAGCTAATATGACTGTATCCTCGGTACTATGAGAGAGATGGTGGGGTGGGGAAATAGAAAGATCCATGACTTCCTGGCCATCAGCCTAGTTATAGATTCAGAAAGAGGGTCTGACTGAGAGGAACAAAACAATAAGTGATAAAACAAAACACTTAGTGTTCTACTCTGGCTTCCACACATGTGTCCACAAATGTGTATGTGTGAGCACACAGATACAAACATGCAGATGAACAGTCCATATGCTACAAAAACAAAAAGCAAACTCACATTCATTCACACACACACACACACACACACACACACACACACACACACACACACATTTTATTTTATGAAAGTCATTGGTCAGCTTCTGTCATTGAATAAACAGAAACATGGTCAAATGAAAATAGAGGTGATTTTTTTTAAAATTTAAAATATATTCTTCTCTCATATAATACATTCCAGTCACATTCCCTCCACCCCCAACCTCCCCTCTTACCCAGATCAACTCCCAATCCTATTTCCTCTTCAGGAAAGAGCAGGTCTCTAAGAGATGACATCCAAACAGGAAAAAAAAAAGATATAATAAGAAAGATTGAGCCTAGACAAGGCAGCTCAATAGGAGGAAAACAGATACAGAGCAGGTAAGAGTCAGAGATACACCTGCTCCCACTGTGAGGAGTCCCACAAAAACACCAAGCTGCTAACAGCCATAACAAAACATGCAAAAGATCTGGTGCAGACCCCTGCAGGCCCCTTGCTTGTCAAGTCAGTCTCTGGGAGCCCTGCTTAGTTCATTCAGTGGCCATGTTCTCCTGGTGTCCTCCATCTCCTCTGACTCCTACATTCTTTCCTCCCCCTCTTCCATGGGATTCCTTGAGCTCTGAGGGGAGGGATCTGAAAAAGGCCTCCAATTTAGACTCTCTCTCTGCCAATGTCTGACTATTGGCCTCTGCACCTGCTCCCATCTACTGCGGGAGAGAGCCTCTCTGATGAATCCTGGGCAACGCACCAATCTATGAATACACCAGAATACCATTTGGAATCATTTCATTGTTTTCTTACATCCCTTCCTCTCTCCCTCCCTCCCTCCTCTCCCTCCCTCCCTCCCTCCCTCCCTCCCTCCCTCTCTCTCTGTCTCTCTCTCTCTCTGTCTCTCTCTCTGTCTCTCTCTGTCTCTGTCTCTCTCTGTCTCTCTCTCTCTCTGTCTCTCTCTGTCTCTCTGTCTCTCTCTCTGTCTCTCTCTCTCTGTCTCTCTGTCTGTCTCTGTCTCTGTCTCTGTCTCTGTCTCTGTCTCTCTCTCTCTCTCTCTCTCTCTCTCTCTCTCTCTCTCTCTCGCTCTCTCTCTCTCTCATTGTTTGGTTTGGTTTTGCCAGTTGTGTTTGGTTCTACCCTAAGTAGCTTGCCCATCCAGACTCAGATTCCTTGCCATCTAGGCAGTGTAGAACATGGGCTCCCTCTAGTGGCATGCGCCTCAAGTTAAACCAAACATTAGTTGGTCCCTCCCACAAGTTCTGCTCCTCCATTGCTCCAGCATATCTTGCACACAGGACACATTGAAGGTGGAGGGTTGTGGTGTCCAGGTTTCTCTTTCCATAGCCTGCAGAGTATCTTGTCACACACCTGCAAAATGAGTTGAAAATTTTAGTACAAAAGAACAAGCATTTTTATAATAACATATATTCAGAATTTCATAGTCTTGTCCTATTTTCTGTGACTTCTGTTCTGACTAATGGAGAAACACAGGTTCAATAATCCATTGATTATTACCAGAAGGTGTTTTTTTATGTGATCCTTAATTTTTAGTTTTAATCAAACTATTAATTCACAAACTACATATTCTATGCAAAACCTGGAGGGATTGAGAAATGTTAAAGGCAGTGCATAAACCACACTTTTTAATGTACTTTTAGTCTTGAGGGTCTGTCTCAAGAAATAAAATAATAGATGATAAAGAAGAACATTCAATGCTCTTCTCTGGCTTCCACATGTGTGTGCACATACATACTACATATGCTACAAAGACATAACACACATATTGGCACATACATAGTCACACACACACACACACACACACACACACACACACACACACACACACTCACTCACATTCATGGCCCTTAGGAATTTAGAATGTTTGGGATAACTGTGATCCTTCTCCACATTAGAGAGTACATTCCTGGTATACAGGACTCACATGCTCTCTGCATATTCTGAATATTGTAACAGAAAACAATGTATCTCATGTGTCATGGTGTGAAAGGTAGTTGTCAGTTTGAATGATTGTAACAAAGTGTCTCCAAATAATGAGACAGTGACTAAATAAATGTGATCTAAGAAATTAAATCTCCTCTGGATGCATATGGATGACATCAATTCCAATTGTTGTAGACTGGTCTAATGTAGCTTTTATATACAGTAGTCCATGTTATCACTCATGTGGCATATAAACACAGCCAACCTCTGGAAGTTTGAAACAGAATGGTTTCAAATGCTGAATATGAGAGAGAAGGGTGGATTGAGAAGATGTTGGTCAAGGATGCATAGTTATAGTTGAGATGCTCAGGTGTCCCTTTTCAAAGCAAGTGGATCATAGATAATGTGAAAGCTAGAGGAAATGACTCGTAGTGTTTCCATCAGGCAGGGGCAGTGAAGGCTTTGTGAGAAAACTGTGTTCAATCTGATTTCAGCAATGCATGATATATGTAAGTCAACAAATATTCCCAGGATTCTATAAAGATATCTGTTTTCTTTCCATTTAAATGTTTAAATTAATTTAAATTTGGTATTCAAATGTATGTGCAAAATTAGGATATACCTAAATAAAAACTGTATGTATTAGAAGAGACTAATTCTTTGTGTTAGTTTGTGAGTCCTAAAATAATCATTTTGGTTCTATAATTTTAGTCATTATGTGTATGTTATATCATCTTATTATGAAAAGTCTACTACTATGGGAATTGCACTATGTGTGACTTTAAATGTCCTACAGATGTCTCAAAATTTGCAAGTATATGTGTGAAATAAATTATAGTTGGTATATGGTGTTTCTGATTTTTTTTTTCTATTCTGATCACCCATTACTTTAACGCTGAATAGGTTTGACTTATCACCAAAGCTAAAATAGTCTGACTACTCCCAAGATGAGGGTTGCTAATTTAAATTTCAAAACTGAAGCAGAAACAGTACAGTGATAATTGGGCTATTTAATTATTCATTTGTGTACTCGAATCTAAAACAGAATGCCTGAGATCTTGACATATTGATGTTGCTGACAATTTTCAACAGGAAGTTCTTTTAGCTGATGCGATGCTCATCAGGCAAGTGAAATGGGTTTGGCTGAGTAAATAAAGCAGTACACAGTCATGATGATGTTATCAAGAATAAGTCTTTATGAGATGCAATAGAGAATAGACATCTGTTTTTGGAAATGTGAGTTTGTAGAGTTTATTCAACAGATTTTTATGAGTATTTAATATGTTCTGAGCTCTGTACTAAGTTTCATGGAAACTTCAAATGCACACTTGTTTTACTTTTAAGACAGTATTTCTGCATATTAGGGCCTTATATAGCAAAAATACTCTTAAGTAAGCAAAGTATTGATAAAGGTATAATATATATGCAATATTATATGTGCATATGCACACTATTATTTAATATTATAATGTTATATACACACACAAACATGTAGACATACACACATACACACATTCACCTTTGTGTAAGATGTTTCTGCTTGTTAGGCTTTATGCCAAACTGCCTATTCCAGAAATGCTTAATATCTTTCCACCAAAATAAATACTATCAGTTGCTGTCCAGTCTCACCAATATTTGGTGTTAGCAAGCTTACTGATTCAAGTAGTTGCAGAGAGAACAGGCTGATGTTGCATTTCTGCTGTTTGCTATTATCCAGCAGGTAACAATATGAACCACTTTTCATGCACATATCT